AGCGATTAATTAAGAATTCAAGTGACTGCAACTAAAGTTAAATAGATATTGTAAAATAATTTGAATGTGCGAGTCGCAGGCAAATCAAACGAACGATTCATTGAACAAGCGCAGGTCCACAATCAATTGAATATATGAATGAGTGGCAAAAGCGAATGCAGTCGCAGCAGAACGCTATTTCGTCTCGGAAAATGCGAGCGGAAAATGGGTAAAAGCAAACTTTTCGGCGTCGTTTTTAATGAAATTTCAGCAAAATGTTACAAACGCGACTAAAAGAAGTGGCTAAGAGAGAGAAGGAGAGTGAGGAAACGAGAAAGCTGGACTGGCTGAGCGAAAAGCAAGAATTGCAATTAAAATTACCAGGCGAAGGCCAACACATCTGGACAGGCTGACTAGAGAGGGGCATGGCAGCCTGGCAAAGGTGCAGACAGAGCGCCTTCAAATTAATAATAATTTGAGCATTGATGAAGCGCCAACAAAAATAAAACGAATGAAACAAAGTGCTCTGGGCAGAGTAAGAGTAAGAGTGAGATAGGGAAGTTCACTGTAATTAAGAAATGGCAAATGGCCGATATCTGGCCCAAGGTCAGGCAATTGACGCTAATGAAAAGCTGGAAATGCTGCAGCATACAATTTGAACACGAATTTGGCATAATATGAATTTAAGTCATTTAAGAAAATTTGGGTGCAGAGCAATTGTGATTTCTCTTGATTTCTCTTGATTTCCAATCTAAAATTCAAACAACATCAACGGCATTTGGTAAATCAACAGCATTTGCACTTGCAGCTTCATATATTAAATATTAAGCATTACACAGGCGCTAAACAAGTGCGCTGAAATACAAATACAAAATTCATTTCGAACGGCAACACTCAGCATCCCAGGCAGCCAAAGCTCCCCATTCCTTCAGATTTCATTATAAGAACGCACAGTGGCTGCCAACGGGTGCTTTGTGCACGAGGCACCGGTGTCAGCGCCAGAGCTGGGACAATCTACGCATACCCTGTAATCAAAATGCAAAATACAAACCCACTCGGCCACAATGGTCAAGCTGATTACCTTTTATAATTGTTTCCGAAAAACTAATTTTATGTGACTGAACGAATTCAGTTTTTAATCTCCCAGCGATTTTGTTAACAGTAACATCAAATTAACAGGGACAAAAACCAACGCCAAGTCATAACAGAATTAATATCAGTGACTAACATAAACTGTAAGAGTGACAGTAACAAAAATAATAGCAGTAATAAAAACATTATCATTAACCACAGCTTGTATAGTCACAGTACAGTGAATAAAAGTAAAGTAAAAAATCATCAAGAAAAATAGCAAAAATAACAGCCAAAGTTAAAATAACAGTTACAGACTAACACTTGCAGCAACAATAAAATCGGTAGCAGTAAAAACACCACTGAATTGTTTAAATATTTTGCATTTACATACCATATATTATTAGTCAAGCATACCCAGCGGTGTCTCTTGCGAATATACTGAGTATTCTGACAAGCACTGTTAACATTATTTGCAGCAAACAAAAGCTGCCTGGTGGTGCTTTGGTAGCGGCTCTCGCTGAGCAGAAATCAACTGCTGCAGCTGACTTTTTGAACAAAAAGTTTTGCTTAGAGCTTGAGCGTGGTCGAGCGCCGGTTAGATGAAAGGGGACTGGACAAGTGGAGGTGAACTGGCTGCTGAACAGCCGGTACAAATCTTAAGTGAAAATAAATAATTTACACCTGCAGCTATCTAAGAAGCGGCAGACATCTGCTTCTGTGGGCCTCACGAATCAGCCGCCCCTTCCCCCACCACCACAATATGATGGACACACGCATAGAACTACAAAGCGGAGTTGAAAAGTTTCAGTTTAAAATGTTTCGAAAAATTGCGGTTTAAACTTTAAGGCAACACCGAGAGGAATAGCAAATTCTGACCTGGACACAGAAGTGGCACAGTTGAGGAATCGAGGAGGAAGGCATGAGGAAATGCTAGCAGAGCGCCGAACAATGCCCAAAGCCAAAAAGTTTTATTTTCTAAGAAATTAAGACTTAATTGGTAAAAGCAGCAACAACATCAACAACTTCAACAGCAAGAGCAACAACAACAACAACAACAACAGCAAAAACTCAATAAAAACGACAATGAGGACAACAGCCGTTAGCCGTATGGTGGGTTGGAAAAACCAACATCAATGAAAAGTTTAAGCAAAACAATGGCAGGCAAGTAAACAATGCCTATGAATGTTGCGGAGCTCTCTCAAGTAGCTGAAAAGACAGCAACGATGGGCGCCAAGGCGCTGGCCAAATACATGTAAGGACCTGAATGTGCCTTGGTTCGAACCAGACACTTGGTTTTATTGCCCATACGCCATGTTAAACAGCAATATTGATAACCCACACTGCCAAAATAAAAAAAAATCAAGTAAGCCAAATGGAATGCTTTTGTATAATAAGCTGACTTGGCAATACCCTGTATGCGACATATATCTTAAAGACATCTAAATATATATGAAATAAATGTGGGTAGCAGGATAAGGTGTGTTATACAAATTCACAATATTTGGATAGTTTTAACTTTAAATAATATTTTTTTCTGCAATTGTATGTGACACATTTCAGAGTGAGTTATACAGCCTTTCTTCATGCTTTTCAAATGGGTATAAGGATCAATGCCATAAAGACTGAGTTGACAACTTAAGGAGTGTCATTTATTTAATCAGACAGACAGAAAGTCATCCAATTGGGACATTAGACATAATCTTAATTAAAATACAAGAAAATCGTGAAACAAACAATGCCACGCGACAAAAATAAATAAGAATTATTTAAATTATTCAAAAAGCCTGACTACAATGAGGACAATAGGACGCTTTAGAAACTTGCCAACAAGCACAACGAGCAGAACTCAGCTTCAACAGGCTCGAAAAGTTTTAATAGGTTACGCGACCTTATCGAGTGAAGGCAAATTAAAGCATGCCCTTCAGGCACCAGATTAGCAGCCATAGCAATAATATTCATAATACAATCACACATATTACAGTACGACCAAGCTGAACGCAACACTCGGTACACACAGTTCCTTGGTAAATGTAACACACGAATCCGTAATCTGTGTTAAGCTTATGCGCAGCAAAATAAATATATTTCTTTAAATAAATTGAATAGAATGAAATTATTACTCTAAATATAGATTCATATACTTTAATGTTAATGTGTGGAAAAGGCAACTCATTTTCAATGAGATTTGATTTAACTTGGTTTTTGTTGCTTTTTTCGCAACTAACCGGATTTTAATGAGATGCCTAAAGCATGAACGTACTTTTAAGACAGCCTAAAGTAAGACTTAAGCTTTAATATATTGCATACTTTAGAATACAGGATATAAATTAGTTCTGTTGAATGAATGGAGTCTTAAAGAAGAAAAGAATTCACTTTCAAATTGGCAATGCAGGTTTTAATCCAGTCCTTTTTTTTATTTTAATTATGTACTACGCATTGGTAAGCAATTTGAGCAACATTTTATCGTGACTCGGTCAATGTTTTTTGATAGTAATTAGAAATCTGGCGAAATGTGCCTTTGTTGTTTATGACGCTTATAAAGTGCGTGTTGCTGCTGGGCAAAAATAAGTCATAATTTGTTATATTTCACAGGCAAATAAACCAGTTGAGTTATTCGGTTCACCAAGGTTGAGCGCCCATTATGCCATTTAACAATTACATAACTGAGTGAACTGACGTCAGACTCTGATGTCTGAAGGCTGAAGCCCGAACATTGGCGTTCGCGCCAAAGTATAAAAGTATCTGATAGGGGCAGCGGCCAGTGCGAGGCCAATTCATATCAAATTTGGCGTCAATATCAATTACGAGGCCGAAGGCACAAGTCTTGAGCTGTCCGGAAATGAAAACATTCTGTCAGCGTGAAGAGCGCTGGCCAATAATAATTGCAAAACTAGCGACATGACCATTTTGGAAGATGAGGACGAGGGTTGGAGGGACGATGGCCATTAGGAAGCCTTGAAAATTTATTTGCGTTCAATTAAAAACTTTTCAAATTTCAATTAAATAGGGAAATTGGCATATTTAGGCGCATGACAAACGAACCAAGCGACCATTTAACATTTTCTAACCGAGGCAACACGGCTGCCAAATTGCGCAGCCATAACTAAGCCTCGGGATTATTTTGTCAATTTCGAATGTCCTGCCATTTACAGCATTTTAATTCGGACCGGCTGGGCTGGGCTGGGCTGGCCACGGACAGGGATGCCCGGAGTTGGGGCCCTTTGTTATGTTCGGCTTGTTGTAGAAATGTTTATGAAGCAATTAGGCTCTGAGCTGGGAACAATGCGAGCAAATGGCTGCAATGGAAATTTTAAAGACTCTTGTCATGCTGCCAAACACCTTCAGCCAGCGAGCCGAAAGGGTATAGCCATTCTGGCCTTAACTTTAGCGCCAGCTCATCGTGACAACAAAAAGATTAAAATCTTGTTACGCCTTCGCCTGATTTGGGCTTTAGTTGAGACAATGCCAAGCGGCAATATCATGATGTTGGCTTTTGCTTAACTCTTGGCTTTGGCTTTTAATACCCTCGCAGAACTTAATTTTTAATTTTAAGAGCAAATTCGTAACACTTCGATTGATACATCTTCGACTTAAAATAGATATACCTTTACTACTATCAGCAGTCGAGTTGTTCTTATGATACTTTGGGAAAATTAGGTCAGACATAAGAATATTGCTAAAACACCCCACATAACCAAATGTTGGTTAGGGTATTAACTCTTCGGCATGCCGAGGATAGCTTTTCATTTCTAATTCATTTTGCTTGGCAAAAATTCAGCTTGTCATGTTGTTGTTTTGTCTTTTTTGTTCTTATTAGTGTGCGGTCCAAGCCAAGCAAAGTTCGACCATGTCTCTCGTTTTTTTTTTTTCCTAACACATGTTGCTAAGCGCAAAACTTTTGGCACTGGGTGCAGGCATTGTTGGTTAGCTGAAGTTGTTGCACCTACCTTGAGGCGCATCTGGGCGAGCACTTGAACAATGTCGCCCTGCTGACACGCATACATTAGACTGGTGCAGCCCTCGGCGAGACGATTTCTTATTGCCACATCCGCATTCGCCTCCCCATTCGCATTCCGTACGCTGCCGTCTGCTATCGTCTCCAATTGCGTTTTCTTCGTCGTCTTTGATTTTGTGGTTTTTCTTGTTGTTTCTTGCGTCGTTGTCTTTACTGTCATTGTCGCCGCCGCCGCTGCTGCTGCTGCTGGTGTTGCACGTGACCGCCCGGGCAACGGACTCTCGAATTGCAACTGTTTTTTTACAGGCAATTTGACTTTTGTGATCCTTAAACGCGGCGGCTTGGCCGGTGCCGCCACATGTTTTTCCTCCAATTGTGGACGCGGTTGCATGGTACCTTAGCTAGTTGCTGTAACCGACCAACTGCTGCTGTTTGTATTTGTTGCGCTTTTTGCATTTGTACTTTCCAATGCGATTTGTTGCACTCATTTTCTAACTCTTTGTTGCATTTTCAAAAATTAATAGAACGCACAAATTTTTGATTACAATTTTTGGTTCGTTCTTGCTCTTCCAAGCCTTTGGGCTTACTGCCTATGTATAATTAAACGCTAATTTATTTGCTCGCAAATCCTTACCACATGCGGGCTCTCTTCACAGTTGCTGGTTGCGGTTAATGGCGACAGTTTTGCTCGCACAAAGTAAATACGTTTTGAGCTTTCAAGCGTAAACGGAAGTTGCCTTCGCTATGTGTGTGTGTGTATGCGTGTGTGTGCTCTAATGCGCCAACTGCTTTCGCTCGAACGCCTTTTAAATTTTGAACAGCCTGCGACATGCGGTGAAACGAGCGCGAACCGACGCGACGCAACGCGGCGCCCATCAGCAGCCTTTTCAATAATTAATTTCAGTTTTTGTCAAAGCACTCACACATACTCACACATACACACACACACACACACACATATGAAGGCTCAGCTTGGCTGGCTGACTGGGGAATAGGGCGATGCTTTGGCAACTGGCAAATAGACAACGACAGCGACCAACCTGCCGCCAATTCCGCACCCGTTGATCAAGTCCGCGGCGAAGCGCACAAAAGTATGCTATGAAAAATTCAATGTGCTTACATTTGATTTAAATTTCCTTCTCTCTCCCGTTCACACAGACACACGCTCGCTGCCTTTTTAGCCTGATATCAAAGTGAAATTCGGTGTTTAATCGCGTGGCAAATAGTTTTTGAAATAATGACTAACCAGAGTAGAAAATTTGTTGAATTCTGTTTATTTTTGGCAATCATCATGTTTAAATTATGACAATACGGAAAGGCAGGATGAGAGCTGCTTAACACAAGATGCTGCCTGATGATGGTTAGTGTTCATGATGATGATTATGTTGGTGATGACGATTATTTTGATGACAGCAGCAGCAGCAGCAGCAGCAAGCAAAAGCAGCTGCTGCTTTTGCCGTTTATAAAGCGATAAATGGCGAAAGCTGCGCAAACCTATCGGCTGATTGAAAACCGAAATGGAATTAAATAAATACGAGTACGCTCATGCAGATAGCTGCGTTGATGGCATCGCATTGTGGCGTTTGCCACGCACCGCATTAAATTTTGAGAGCACGTAAGTATCAGAACGCGGCGCTGCGACTGCGGCTTTTTATTGATGTTGCTGCCGCTGTTGATGTCGCTGCCTTTGACTCGGCTGCGGCCTCTGTCTGTCTGTGCTGCAGCTGCTGCCCTGGTTTGTTTGTTGCTTTGCGGCCGCTTTCTGTGCGGCCCGCAGCAGATTTACATTTCATTTGTAGGAAACGACGATGACAGCAATCGCTGCAGCAGCGCCATTCGATGATGATTTTGGCGAGGTTTACGAGGCGCTGCTCATCGTTGCCATCGTTCGCATCGCTGGCGTCTTCGCCAGCCGTTGGTTTTTAATAAATTAATAAAAAAGGAGCACGACTTGCGCCGCAGCATAAAGAAATAAAATTGTTGCCGGCAAGTAGGGAAAACAGCTTAACCGTCGCTGACTGGCGAATCGAATGGAGACTAAAAAACAGTTTCAGGCTCATTAACTGAGAGTAAGATTTTATTGAATATGCAAATAGCGCTGACTCATCGAAAATGAATATAATGCAGAATTCTTGCCACAGCAAATATCATAATCAAGATTGGAAACAACCAAGCTTTTCATAGATGAGCTTAACTTGCGGATATACGGATATACTGATTGCTCCTGAACTTGACCTTCGACCAAAATTTCTGACCGACGGCATTGTCATCCCAATTATTTGTTATAAATATCTGAAACCCTTGCGTAAGGCAATCCCAAAATCGATTTATTTTATACTTTCAAAGAACTTTAAAAAGATCACTTACAAATTAACTTGGGGAAACATCAAAGGGTCATCCACTAAATAGTATAACTAAACTTTGTGCGCCATTGCAAATCAATGCTAAAGTTAGTTTGAAACTAAAGAAGCCTCAAATTAGTCTGAACGAAGTAAAATAGGAAAGTAGGTCAGAAGACTGTTTTTATGCTTATTCACGAGTATTTGTTTAATATGACAATATATTTCTTGGTGCTTTGGGGCATTTTATACTCATATGTTAGGCTACGCATTGATTTGCATACAGCATTCGCTGCATTTGCCAATGATAATTTAATTTATATCTCCTACTTAACCTCTCTCTCTGCCTTTCTCTCTGTCTCACACTCTCTCTCTTTCTCTCAGTTTATCTCTTTCTCTACCCATCTTATCCTCTCTCTCCCTCTAGATGTACAACTGTGTGTCATATGTGTGCTAAGCCGTTTTATGGTGTTGCCATAATTATTCTATTATTAAGTACTAAAACATTTGTCATGCACGCAATGTTGGCCCTATTATTAATGTTGTTGTTGTTGTACATAATGCTGTTACTATTGCTGTTGCTGTCGCTGCTGCTGTTGCTTCTACTGCGGCTGCGGCTGCGGCTGTTTATAAGTGATTAAACGTAGCCCACGTTGGCAATCTGAATTGTGCCTCAGGAGTTGGCTCTCTGTCCCTTAAATGTGTATATATTGTTTGTGTGTGAGTGTGTGTGTGCGCCTTACACATGTCAGTGATTGTGTGGCGAGCGTCCAAACTAGTTCAAGAGTACGTTTATGGGCGTTTAAATGTGCCTGTGAGCACGTGTGTGTGTGTTTAAAGGACTGTGCATGCTGTCAAACGCAAACTCATCCGCTTGGCAAATAAACATTTTAGCAAATTTACCGCCAACTGACAGCTGTCAGCTTTATAACCACCATCAAACAACGGCAGCAAGAAGAAGAACAGCATGAGCAACAACCACAAAAACACCAATAACCAACAGCAGAGCATGGACGCTAGCCAAAGGTGTGCATGGACCGCAGACCTATTTACAGAGGGCGCCGGAAAGAGGCAAATACATAGGCAGCGACAACTAAATACACTCACACACATACTCGCATGCGGGCAACTCAAGTGACTGGAACAAACACACACACACATACACATATTGGCAGCACCTACGGGCAGAGGGCGACTGAGCAGCCAGCCAGCTTTCCCCACTTAACACTTCATTGAAACACCACTCAAAAAGCCACTTTCGCAACGAGCGCAAAACCCGAAGGGAGAATGCGGCATAGACACACACACACACACACACACCCACACACACAGACAGATAGACACGCACACACACACAGTGAAGGTGCAGCTGTAAGTAAATTGTTTTGTCTGGCCAGTTTGTTTGTTTTTGTTCGCACCGTTTGTCTCTGCTCCTGCATCAGATTTATGAAATTTTTTTTCGACAAAGCCTTTGACTTTCACTCTGACTTTGGCCATCAAATGCTTGACTAATTATGCGGGAAAAGCTCTGCCAATGTGGCGGCTGCTGCTCTCGCTGCAACTAATGAAAATTGTATGAATCTCGAGCTGCTTCGTCAAAGGCATACTGGGCGCATCAAAATGTCAGCAGTCTAATTAAGACTGCTCAAGGGATTCCAGAGTTTTGGCTTCAGCGAGAGCATCCTGGCTGTCCATTGTTTACCTTTGACTGCATTTATAGCACAAATTGTTGACATTTTTGCGTCGCGTTTGTTTTTTAAGCTCAAACATTTTGCTGCGGTGCGTTTGAGTTTCAGTCAAAGTTTTTGTTGCTGTCCAGTCCACAGCTTGCGGAGCTCGTCGCCCTCAAGTGCAGGCTTTCAGTTTTTGCCACTGCCCAACGCACTTTGTGTGAGTAGTTTCAGTTCACATTTTCACAAAATCATTAATAGCATAGAGAAAAAAGAAATGAATTTGTTTTCACTATTGCGTACTTGGCGTTGCCTTTGCGCTGGCCAAGCACTGTTGGAATCTATCGCACAACTGGCTGATATTGCAGCTATGTGTGTGAGTGTGTAAACGGGGGTGTACATTTGGTGCATGCTCCGTGTTATTGTGTTGGCCACCCAAGTTGTCATGGCAATGAGTCGACCACTGAGCCTTGTGGCTATTCCAAGCCACAGCCCAAAACCCACACATACCCACACATACGCGTTTGGGTGGCTTGGCACTTTGTTGGCCCTTTGCGTGCCTGTCAGCCCACATCACTGTTATCGAATATAAAGTTAACTTTGTTTGGCGGCTTAATTGGGTTAAATATTGTGCCTTTTATTGGTTTTAGCTGGGGTAATCAAGACCAGAGTACATGCATATGCGCTCGTATATTCGCAGTGCGCCCGCTTGCATTGCTGGGCAAGAATTGAAATTCGCCAACTGTCAAGTTCATGAAGAGCTGCATGCTCAAAATGCCAAAGGAAAAGACTTAACAGCTGACACTGGAACTAAGCGTTTAAATTTCAATTAAGCCAAAAGCCATTCGCACACACACACACACATACACACACCCACAAGCGCATGCACACATTTGTAACTGTTACAGCTCATAAATTCCTTGACTTGTGTCAGGATGTGTTTGCTGGGCCGACATTTTGCTTCCACAGAGTGCCGAAAAGTTTCTCGCTGCGGCACGTCAAGAGCAGCAGCAGCAGTTAAAGCAGCAGCAGCAGCAACAGCAACAGCAACAACCTAAGTCCTAAGTCTGGCTAAGGCGTCCAGTCGGTTAAGTGCACCAAAAATAAACTGCACACATTGTGTGCCGCTGAGGCAACTTTGGCAGCAGCTGCATTCGCCGGACGAATCGAACCAGAAACAAGGAAAATTTAAGTTGGGTGTGGCAGAGCGCCACAGCAGCTCGCAGTTCTTTTAATTAAAATGGCTTTTGAGGGTTGACTGCCTTCAAAGCAGAAGAGTCATGTGTTTGCCATGTGGGCTTTGCCTGATTGCCTGCCTGCCAGCCCGCCCTTCCTTTGTAGGCGTCTCGACTATGCAGCATATGCGTGCACCGGCTTATGCA